AAAATGTCAGTCCTTCCATTCACCTTCAATAAAAAGTACACAATCCAGCCACAGGTAATTTTTTTCACCTGTGGAAGCACAAGAGGGGGTGCAATTCTGAGAAATACTGACTCAAAGAGAAAGACAGTAGCTGATCCTTTTTTCTCTTAAAAATATCTCCTGCCAACTTCAAAAAGGGATAGCTGGGACCCAACTTTTAGGCAGCAGAAGGCCATGTGGAAACTTATCTGTTAGAAGAGTTACCATGTGTGTAATTTTAAGACAGAGTAAGCCACATTCAATTTACTGACTAACTGAAATGCTGGTCCCATTTCAGTTCAACTCCCAGCTGTCTTTTAGTGAGATTGCCAAAAAAGGCTATCATCCTAGACTGAGTTACCCCAACTGGCTTTGCATACTGTAGAATTCAGTCAAAATTAGCATCTTCTCACCTTTAAGAGTCCAGACTATAAAATAATTATACATTAATAGTATAAAGCCTTACTCTGTTTCTGTCCTCATCTGTTAATGAGTAATGTTTTCAGGGCAATCAAACATTTCAGTGTTCTTTCCTTAAATTCACTGATACAACACTAAAACCATTTAAACCTTATAGTGCTGCTTGAGAAATCTTACAGGATATTATTTCTCAAGAAGCAGATTTACAGCTGTCAAAAAAGAAACTGCCTTTTTTTTTTTTAAGTAAATCTTTTCCAGCAAGTCATGTGATAGGTTCCCAGTAAGAAGGAAACTGCATTTCAAGATGTCTACTGTACTTCTGTGCTTTGCCTTTTATTCTTTCTGCTTAAGACTGACTGGAGCGACACACACACCAAAAAATCTCAACCTAAAAACAATGCTGTAATTAAGTATTCTGAGAACATGCTGTTTCCTTGTTCAAGGTTTATAATTAAGTTAAATCATGTCTCATTTTCAAGTCCCAGTTTTAGGGTTTGTTTTTTGTTTGTTTGAGGGTATTTTTAAACAAATGACATTTTTGCTGTTTCAAGATATGAATTTTAAAGCCTGTGGTTTAATCTTTTTAAATCTTAAGACACAAAACAAGATAAACCAAGTACTTTCTTTTACTGTGTACTATATTAACCCTCTTTCTGAAATACCACAAATTTAGGAGGTTATTACAATTCTTATTTTGTGATACTGCAAGCAGATATTCTTTATCAACTAAGACAAAAAGCTGAAGGCAAAACCATGCCTTTGGCTCTATTAGCATAAATTCAGAGCCAATTCCACTGTAGCTGCCCAAATTCTGCCATGTTAATCCAGAAGTCCTTTGTTTCCAAATGCTATGCAATCTCTATCATTACAACAGGCTGCTGCTATTTTCTCTTTCAAATTCATGTTCAATGAGCTCATGTAAAGGTTTTAAACAAAAAGGTTCTCACAGATTTGGATGCAGTGCTTCAAGATATTACTGCCCCCACCTGTCCACCCTGTACCATTCTTCTGGTGAAGGTAGACACCTCTGAAGCCATACAGGACTTGTGCTCACAGCAGTCTGTAGCAGGGCATGCTCTCTCTTTTGGTAACTGTGTGCTGCTGAGGATACCACCACCACCACAGACCATTTGTCAAAGATGCAAAGGAACTGAAGGATCATCTACCTTAGGGAATTTCCTACAGATGCAGCAATATCACTGTATGCATGTTTGTATGAGTGTAAATACCTTCAGGCAGTACAGAATATTTATAAGAAAGCCCCACAGTTCCTCAACATAACACCAGACCTCTGTTTTCTGACTGCATCTGCAGAACACAACTACTGTGCAGAACAGTTACCCTCTGCACTGGAGTAAAGACAATATGATGCAGGGAGCTCTCCAGCCATGGATTTCTAAAGGACATTATTCTGTACTTATGTTGCACTCCATCCAAAAGGATGTCAAAAATAAAATGAGGAAATAAGATTGCTTTTAGACATTATTAATACATCACTAGAAGAGAATGTTGTAGCAGGTTATCATGAGCAAAATACAACGTGACAATCTAAATGGTAGGCCTGGAGTTTCTTTCATAATTACGGCAAAGTCTGTAGGCCACTGCAAGGGGATTTCCTTAGCAAACAAAATTACCCAACACTAACAATCACAAGTAATTAAAAATAAGTATGTAGAAGGGAAGCTACTGCTCCAGGCAAATGCTGTAATGGAAGGGAAAAAGCAAAAATACGTAATAATAACTTCAAAATTTCAGAAGCAGAAAGACAGGTGATGCCTTCAGTATAACCTTTAACTTCATCAGGCATGCTGGGGCGAAAGCCTTTATTTGTATCTCTACATAACATCTTGCTTTGAGATGCACTTAAACCAAAGATTTAAGTGACAGGTCACCACCTTCCATAGAACAGGCACAAAAAAGCCTAAGGATCTTCAAAGCCAGCATGGCCAGATTTCTAAAGTCACGTTATTTAGAAGGTGGAATTCCCACAGATTTTATTCTTTTCATTTTATAAACAATTTTGAATCAATCCCATTTGTAAAATTATGTAACACTGATCATTGCCATTTACCCTTTGTTTCATAGGCAGCAAAATCATTGTCTTGCACAGTTCTGTCCAAGCTCCCCTTCAATTCTCATTAAAACTTACTTAAAGCAAACAGATTCTCTGGCACTTACAGAAATTAAATACCACAAATGCAGACATTATGAAACAGGTTGCATAGCCTTTCTTAGAGGCTTAAAACTAGACAGTCATCTGTGACCACAGTAAAATGTACAACTTGTCCCCGAATGCCTAAAATGAAATCCCTCAACATGTGGGGATCTGTAGGTAGCAAACTCTCCCCCATGATGGAAGTTTGAGAGGCTTCACTGAGCCCATATGCGTTGGACTTGACCAGCTGAGAGCAGGACATACCAGATAGATCACACTACATATGAAGCACACGTCAAGCCTACTGTTTTAATGAATGTTTTCTGTGCAGGTGAGTATTAAGAGAATATCAACAAAGGTTTCTAGCTGATAAATTGGATGAGTAAATGTAAATGGATTTGGAGTTGCTGAAACAGCTGGGAGCTTCATTTCTTTTTCTGACTTAAGTGCCTCCAAACAAACCCCTGGGGCAGGTCAGGACCTCTGTTTCTCAGACCTTCAGAGTGGCTAATGCTCCTGGCTTCAGCCCTAGGACAAATTCTGTCCCTTTATTTCAACCAAAATTACTCTCATGCAAGCACCAGAAAATATTCAAAATAACTTTACTGAATACTCTGGGTACTTGAGACACACTTTTTTTTCCTCTTGAAAGATTAATGATTATTTCATCACCTGTAAGAATTTTCAGAATTCTTAATCAACCAAGTTCTCACTAAATCAACTCAAGCCCTACTTAGACAACAGCATAAGCCAAGAGCATTGCTACACAGGCAAAAATATCCACTTGTCTAAATTATTCCAGTGAAAACCCTTGTACATAACGCTACATGCCCTATCACTTGCTGCACTGGTACAAATGTCTCAGGACTAACATTTACAGAAACTGACTCTTGCACATCCATGAAACAGGCCTACTTTAATATGGGCTCTATTTTTTTTTTCAAATGACTTCATGCACAAACACCACTAAAAATACTACTTTATATATACACCCATCTGTTAAAAAAAAGCATTATGTGCTTGATTCTCATGGCAACAAAAAGGAAAAGACTACTGCAGTATACAAAGAGTACTGGAAGGATCAGAGAATATCTCAAATTGGAAAGGACTCATAAGGATCATCAAAAGTCCAACTCCCATCTCCTTGGAGGACTGAATAAAACTAAACCATATGATTAAGAGTAACAGCTACATGTTTTTTGAACTCCGTCAGGTTTGATGCTGTGACCATTTCCCAGGGGAGCCTGTTCTAGTGCCCAACCACCCTCTCAGTAAAGAATCTTTCCCTAATGTCCAACTGGAACTTCCCTGACACACCTTCATTCCATTTCTTTGTGTCCTCTCACAATGTCTGACTAGATCTCTTGTTTTGGTATTAGTCAGAATTTTAACAGTCTGATATTTGCACTGGAAGAAGGGAAGGCAAAGAGTAGTTTTATGGCTAGAAACATTTAAAAAAGAGCCTTAGGGATGTGAAAAGAACCTTGTCTCTTCAGCTAAGTCCTTGGTGAGAGAAGGACCCTTTCAAGGAGTGGCCATGCTAAACTACTACTCACACACATTTTGTTTACAGCAAAATTCTCAGCCCAGTGGATCCAAATAATCTGGTGCTCAAATTAGTCCCTATGCTTTTGATTGCTGCTACAAATGTCACTGTTCCATTGAAGAACTCTTCTCACCATGAGGACTATAGATAAGCACAAAGGTAATAACAGCCCATAGAGAGGTTCTAAAAACCACAGGAGATCACTGCCTGGAATCAATCTCCTCCCAGATTGTTTCAGCAAGAGCAAAGATCTTCAGCTAGTCTGAACTATTAGAGATCTAATGAAAGGACAAAAGATGCCATATAGCTTCAACTTAATCTTGTATTAAACACTCAGCATACATTTGGATGTCAACAGAACATTCCACAGAAGTGCCACAATATTCTGAAGGTATTTAAAGTTTTAATTAATGTGTTGAAGAGTGAACAGCCACCTAAGCTTTTGGCACTTTTCACCTATTAGCATAATAAACAGCATTCAGCAAACAACCATTTTCAAAGGTATGGCTTTCTGAGGAAAGGGTTTCTTCATCACAGGAAGCTATCATGACTCCAGAATGTTATTAAGCACTTAGAAGGTTCAAGATGCAAAATTATCTTGAGTACTTATCTGTCAATAAAGGCTCTATTATGTTGATTCTCTCAGCATATTTTCAGTACAGTTTATCAACAGTGGTCATATTGAGAAATAGTTTTAAAGGCCTGAAAATGCCCTGAGGAATTTCAATCACATCAAAAAGATACTTAAAACTATTTTAAACACATATTTTAGGAAATTCAGTTTAATGAAGTACTTCAATATGCCTAGCAGGTTGACAAGTAACAATTTTTCCACAGTAATCCCTTTGGAGTCCTCCATACCTGGTCAGACACATGAAGATTTACTTGGAGGACAGAAGGGTGCAGCTAAGCTTCTCCTGCCACCTCCTGCTCTCACAGTTAGCAGTGGACAGCTTAATGCTGACATAAGAAAGTCACTCATTGTTTACTGAACATCTTGGTGGTAGCTTGAACTTGGAGGTTTTTCAAGACCTCTTTTGTTGTGTTCTCCCATTACCAAACATGCTGAGCCACTGTTTATCCTTCCAGCTTCCCGGCAATGACCCATAATCCTGTAACCACCAACTATTATTGCTACTTCCGCCTAGCAGAACTCTGAGAACAGCTTATCAGTTTGCTGCAGCTGGCTCACCAAGTACAGCTGGCTGCCCTCTCCTCTGTCCACACCCTAAATTATTCATGATGTGTGTGTCAGCATATGCTTCATGGGAACTTCTTTTTAAAACCTCATTGAGGCTCACAATGCTGAGCTTTCACCCTTCACTGTGTCTCTGTACATTTGCACTCTAGATTCCTAATCTTAACACATACATGGTCTTTGTTTTACCTGGATTCACATAACTTAAAAACCTAAGGAAGTTTCCTAGTCTAGGAGGGCTGATTGGTCAACTATAACCTATTTCTGGATCTGATCTCTGCACTGGGAACTAGAGATGTAGCTTCAGTTGAACAGCAAAGTGCAACTTCTCACCTTCCTTTTCTTCTCCCCTCCCACCCCTCATAAAGCACAGCATAATGCATGTTTAAGATATTAAGATGTCACACCAGTCACGTTAAACAAAAAAAAGGGAAAGAAAAAGGCTGTTTCAAGTTAAATTTTGCATCCAGAAATTTCAAGATAACTGCTCAATGCTTCTCCACAAACCTGTCTTTTCATGTTTCCACTCTGAAAATTTGGAACGTTTTTGTACATCAGTTTTATCAGTATTGGAAAGAATATTATGTGTGAAAATATGATTCAGGGTTACCTGCATTTTTTCAAAGCTTTTCTTATATAATTTATAGTTAAGCCAAGAAGAATGTTTTTTTACTTCTCAGTTTATAAAAAAATAGTTAAGGCTATGAAAATTCACATCCTTTGCACCAAATGGTAATTCTCAGTGTGAAGTGCAGCACATATGAAATAGGAGAGGACAAAAAGAGCTAAATTAAGTAGCAACCATCTACCTACCTCCTCTCTAATTCAATTGCTTTTGATTGTGGGATGATACCTTGAAGTGCTGCTTTCAGTGAATTTTGAATGGATTCTGAGGAAACATAAATCATGCTGTAAACAAGAACTTAAGAGATACCCTCATGAAATACAATTCAAACTGTAAAAACAGAGCAGTTAGTACAACCAACCAATAAAACCAGGGGATCACGATTTGTTTACACAAGAAAGTTCTACCTCTTAATGCTGGTTAGACTCATCATCTGCACTTGTGCTCTGGCAGCTTGTTACTGAGCTTAGACCAGACAGACATGCTTGAAAGGTGCAGTACTTTAGCCAACACAGAGATCGAACACCACCAGTCCCAAATACTATATTCAGTTCTTCAGCCAGCACTAATCCATTCTAGAAAAATATCACTGCCATGTTCCACTAGGTTTGTTACCTGAGAACTCCTACAGTCACTAACAGTGATCCTCTCCTCAATGTTGTTCTGAGTAGAGACACAAAATCTAGAACCTTATGAAGAGAACTGGACCTCTTACTCCAACAAAAGCATTCCAAACCTTTCAATAGCAAAAAGAATTTTAAAATGGTTATATTGAATAGATCCTTCAATTACTGAGGTATCTGTGAATTAATTTTCAGCATTCACTGTCAGAGCAGGATTAACACTATGGCAAGTAATGTGCAAAGTCTGTTTTAGCAAGAGTATCCTTCCCTAAAGAATTAACAGTTTCACACTGAACAGTGATCTTGCCAGAGCTATGACAGATCTTCACTATTTACCTTCATAAATTTTCCAGGAAGAAGGGATTACAGACTCACATTAAGTTCTCTATGTAAGGTTGCAAATTGCAGTTCCTCCTTTAAATCTCAAGAGGATTAGAGCTGCACATTTAGTACAAAGTTCTGTTCTAGAACATTCTCTAGAAAATCCCACAAAGCAAAACCAAAACAAATTAAACACCCCCCCCAATGACTTACACAGTTTCATTTTTGATTTGCATCAAAGACTGTAAGATAAGAAGTGCTGAGGCTTACCTGGCCAGAGGGAAAAAAACAAAACAGGCTTGACTTACAAACAAGCACAGCTTCTCCTCAGCATACATGAAACTACCATACTCAGTGTCTACAAATGCTTTCTAAGAGAACATCACTTCTTAGGCAGCTCTTCAAAACACAAGTTACAGCTTAATTTTTGCATTCCCTCTAATGAAACATGAGATCATATCTGAGACTAAACTTGAGTCAGATTCCCATCCCTGATAAAACTAAAGGCATTTTGAAATTCTTTCTCCACAAGCCTGGTCTGCCAAAGCAGCTGAAGCAAAGCCACCAGCCCAGCTCTACAGCTAGCATTCCTCCTGTGAGGATAACCTTGTATCACCATCTTCTAAGCAACTGTTCTTACTCTCCAGGTTAAATCTGTGATGGGAGAATGCACAGTTAACGTGAAGATTAATGAAGTTTAGGCAAAAGCCAGAATTACCTGATCTGCCAAACCTAGGACTCCTAAATACTCAGAGCTTGAGTATTTATGCTTGAAGTTCCTGAAGGGGAACCAATCTCAGCAGAAGCCATCTAAGGAGAGGAGCCTACTCTTCCAGAGCACAGGAACAACCCCAGAGATCAAAGATCAGTATTAAAAGCTGTTGAAAACCAAAACAGTCTGTTCAACTGTGTGTCCTGATAAAGCTTTGTCCCATCATGAATTAAAATCCTTCACTGTTTAAAGAAGATACTGAAGTCTCACCAATACTTCTAATGCATAGGCAAAAATACCCCAAACAAAAGCTATTTTGGGCAAACAGGGATGTTTACCAGAGAAATTTTCAAGTATAACTTTACACAGGGCTGTCTTATCAAACTCACTATTTCACTTCTGGCACCTATCACTGTGAAGATTATGCCTGTCACCTCTTCTAACCTACCCAAGGCACACAGATGCTCTAGAAATAGTTACATCCCTTACTCCTGCTTATCTGGGAGCTACTGAACTCTTCCCCCACAACTGGCTGACATTAAACCAACCCCTGCAGTACAGAAAAAAAGACACTGACAACTTTGAACCATCCCTGCAGAAGACTGAGTGCTAAATGCACTGCAGACCAAAGTTACTGTGGAATTTACTGCTGCATTAACCAAGAATGCCAAGTCAGTTTACAGGCATCAGCTAACCTTCACAAACATCAGTTTAGGAACTGTTCTACACTACATACACCTGCAAGAACTCTGTCTGCACTCTGAACTGGTTTTCCAGTTAAAGGTTATTCTGAATTGCTATTCTCTGTCAGACTAAGATGGACACTTAAAATTATAATTTATCAACTATCATATTCCAGATTATTTTGAAACTAGTTGTTTTTATACTAGAATGCATGAATTGAGAGCAGACCATTTTCACTTCACAGTAATACAGGCAGCTCTTACCTTTACCTTCTGCACCTCCCCTTGACATCATGTATTTATGCATTTTCCGTGTTCCCATGCTTTCTCTGCATTAGTCCTTCCTGCACTGTTGCCAAAATACAAGCCCTCAGCCTTACACATGAAGTATTTCAGCCACAATTCAATCTGCCTTTTAAAATATGCAATTGCTGATCATGATCTGAATCCAACTGTTCTTCAATTTATACCTACTTAATATTTATATTGAAGGTGCTGGGGAAAAATACCATCCATTCAATAACACCAAAAACCAGAAAGCAGATAAATCAAATCAGTACCTTATTTTTTTCACATTTGAAGAAATTAGTATAGTCTGTGTTCTAGTAAAATAACCTTCATACCTTAAGATCTTTTACTGATCATGCATTATCTCATTCCATTCTTCTAGTGCTAATTAGTTTAATTTAAATAAAGAGGGTTTTGTCTTAGTTTCATTTTCATGTATGAAACTACAAACAAATCAGAGAAAAACAACTACCTTAATGTTTTTTGGACAGCTATAAACACAGCAAGAAATCTTCAGCTAAATTCCAATTATGTTCTAAGTTTTACCAAGAATATGCAGACTAAAGACTTCTGAATCACCAGCCACATTTGATGGACCCAAGGTATCTGCTTCAGATGATAATGCCTGTTAAAACACTATTTTTTAAAGCAATGTAGAGTTTGAAATAAAATTACTAGAGAGAAAAATTGAAGGGGGGGAGGGGGGATAAAAAAAATACAATGGAGTTATTTAGAACATTTCTGGCTGTATTTAAACCCTCATGTTATCTGCTGATTAATGCTAACTTCTGCATAAACAACTATCCAATCTAACAGGACTGGTACTGTACATCTGCATATCCATGGTTGTCTTTTAATCATTTGCCAGACTTTAGTTCCATGCCTCCACAGCAACAAAAACTTGTTGCTGTGGTCTGCTTAAAGCCAGGTTTTTCAGAAAAAGTTATCATCTGCTATCTTCATATAAAACTATGGCACAGTGCAACTGAGTAGAATGTTTTTACTCAAGCGTGCAAAAACGTGTGTAATTCATTTTGTAACAAATACAGATGCTGTGTGCATCAGAAGACAGAAAAACCAGGAAAATCTCTAGCCAATGCCACAGATCAAGTTTTTCCTGCATCCTGAAAAGACTTTTTTGAGCTTAAAACCACTCAAGGTTTTTCCAAGTGAAAAGTAAAAAACAGATTGCAATCGTGTTGTTAAATTCAAACCCCAATTAAACACAGCAAGCAATCTTAAAAAAATTACTGCAGAAAGAACACTGTAGTTTCTTTCCCTATTATATGTCTTGGCTTGACATTTTGTTCTCTATACTCGATCTCAAAAGTCTTTGAAATAGATTTTGTTTAATCCAAATTTTCTAGCATGAAGTTGACCCCACTGAAGCTATTACAGCATTTATCGTGACAGAAGAATATTTTACCACAGCAGAACAGGAAAATTCACATTTCCAAACCCTTCACTTTTTACATTAAGTTCAATTGGAAAATTTTGCACCCTCCCTATGTTTCAAAGGCACCAAGATCCACTATGTAGTTTTTAGACTACCGGTGGTTTTGGTAGGTACTCACTGAGATAATCACCAATTAAGCTTTTTTTTTGGTCTTAGAATTCTTCTTCACCATATCCATATTAGCTCCTGTCTACCAGCTCCTCCCCTTGCCCACTGCTTGATGAGGAAGCCCAAA